GTGTGGTTTTATTCTTGGGTTCAGTTTCACTTGGTAACTGTTATCGTGAATGATCGTGTATAAAATGGGTGTTCTCTAGGCCATTTTACATTTAGTCCGTCTATGTAGTGAATATATAATGGACTTATTTGGATAAAGCTCAATTTCACATTTGCCAAAGATTTTGGACATTGTTTGACTGTTAGCTCCACATTCCTAAATCTTTTAACTTATTTACTGAAAATTTAGAAATTTTATAGTAAATGAAATAGAATTGTAATGCATTGATTTGATCACTATTTTTCACGATATTTAATGGATATATTGTATGAAAATCATATGAAAAATATTCTTCCCTTTACAACCTGTCATTTATGTTTCAACACTAATTTTAACCTAAATGTTATAAGTTAGGCACTAAGTAACATAATTTTGATATATTTCCCGTTTGTAAGACTGAGAGAGTAGATACGGGTGTAACATCCTATTAAAGATTATAGTCGCAATATTTTCAAAACATCACCATTTCCGTATACCATAAATGGCATAAATACAATTGTTATATCAACGTTTTATAATAACCTTCTTTTTGAATTTCATATTCATGTGTAGATACCATCTGGCTCTACGTTTTTAATCATTATAATAAAACACCGATTTTTTGCAATAAAACAAAAACAAAAAAAAAAAAAAAACACTGATGGATTTCCCTTTGTTATATAGCTGGGAAGTTGAGGGAAGCATAAAGCTATTTAATTTTCATTTTTATGCAACTTATAATCATTACTAATGATAATAACGGGAGAATAAGGTTTCGAGCGAAGTTTGTTTAAACATCTTTTAAAATACTATGATTTTACGATTTTCTTCAAAATATAAACTTAAACGTTTATAAAAAAAAAAACAAAATTACTTTATTATGCTTTTTTTTTAGCACTTATTACAAAAAATAATGATTAACGTGTTAAATTTCAAACATTTATGCTCACCTAACATTTTTAATGCATACATAAAAAAAAACTTGAATGAAACTCGAAAATGTCAAATACTAACAAACCATTGAAAAATCACCAAAATGTTTTAACAATTTGATGAGGTCTACAATGAGTTTGTTTACAGATGGAAAAAATAAACATGTGTGTTTGTAAAATTAATATATTCCTCTGCTATGCTCAGAATCTAAACAAACGTATTTCAGAAATGTTTGTAAAACATCAAACGTTTTTCTTTTCGTATCGCTTTACATTAAAAAAAAAAAAAATATATATTTTTATACAAATATTGAAAATTAAAAGTAATTTTACATGGATCTACCTATACATTTATTGCGTATTGTGAGTGGAACTGATTTACCCTTCCTTTCGTCAAATTTTCCCTTTTTTAATACTTATGTTAGTATTTGTTATTATATATTACGTAATTATTTATAAAAAAAAAATTAATGATTAAATAATAATTGTTAAAAAAAAAATCAGTTTCACTGAATAGAGATCTAGCCTGAACAAAACCCGATACCAAATCATTTGACCTTTGTAGTGAAATGATTCTGATATTATATTATATTAAGATAGTATGGTATATACTAGGAGAGTGTTTGATTGTTCGAGAATTCAAGTATTTGACAGTATAAATTCTATTCGATCACATAGAATAAATAATAGGTATCGACACTATACCTCAATTATTTTGGATTTTATACAATAGTCTGTGATCATAATCGAATATAATTCCGGATGGTTAAAATATTATATCGTTCTATTAACGGTATGAGTATAATGATATTACGTTGAGTATGACATTTTTTGTGATGCTGCGGCTATCTAAGGTATTTTTATTTAATTTTTACAAACAGTCGAAATAGTTAATTGCAGCCATACGGCATTCGTTAACCATCAAGGTTTAAACTTCCGAGCGTCTATATAATGTGCATTCACTAATTCTTAGTCGGTTGAACGTATTATTTTACATTTAACTGAAATAGTATATTGAAGTAATAGAAGAAATAACAACTGCGTAAACATATGTTCACCGATCGTTTACTGCAGTTGTTAACATATCGCCAATTAGTATGTATATTATATGGGCACAACTCAGCATTTACGATTTTCTTGTTTATGATGTTTACGGATTCGTGATTTTTTCGTTTCTGTTTTTGCTATATTTCCGTAATTTTCTCCTCGTTATAATAAAAATAATTTTCAACAAAAAAATTTATCACATTCAACGTGCGCGTAATATGCATATTATTGATTGGAAAATATATGGTCATGAATGAAATGTGAAACAAATTGTTGTGCATCTTCAATCAACTTGTCTAGAAAAAATATTCCTCTAATCAAAATATTCATAGGAAATTTCTCGTGGAACTTTTAATTTAGTAGGTGTGCCCAAAGATCACTTTTTTTATAAATTTATTTTTTTTGTTGCTTTTTGATTACCTTTACAACAAGGAAATAATTAGATTAATCGAATTCTGCTCAAAATCGTTTTCTGTTAGTAATGACTTATCTTCACGTATTGATATTAATTAATTAATTATTTTTATCTTTTATTCAAACTTCCTCTTTAAAACAGTGGAACACCCAACAGCAGTATCACTGTATTAGTCGTATTATTTATAGTAAATATTGTAATGTTATGCTCACCCCTCTAATTTACCCCCACTACATTTTACTACCCCACATTTTCCCTACTTTTCCCTTTTTTCATTTTCATTCTTTCTTTATTTTTATTTTACCCTTTTCTATTTTTTGTATTACTACAATATCCAATAATATATAGGTTGTTCGAATATTATAATTATTCGGGTACGATTGTAGATTCTGCAGTTTATTTAAGGGGCAATTGGTTTTCTCTGTCCGTTTACACAAAATGGCAACAAATGAAAATCACATTTTCTTGATTGTGACCATTCGATTGATTTAAGAGCAAAAAAGCCTTTTGATGCTCTAAACAAGGATTAAGGCTTTGTACAAGGTGATCTATTTAGGTGTATACACTTAATATCTCGGAAAATAATACAATTTTTCAATATTCTTTCGTTTTGAAAAATTTATGAAAAAAGCTGTTCTTAAGTTTAAAATTTACATTTTTTTTTGGTCACTTTAATTTTTGGGGGATGAAACGAACATCTACTTTGGATTTTTAAATGTCAACCTATATAAAAAAAATTCCATAAATAGATTGATTATTAGTTAAATTAAATTTTTGTGCTTCTATTATTTGATTTCCACCAATTCGTTGACGATCTATTCCATTTTTAAGTTTGAATTGGGGAGAGTAATGATATAACATTAGAACGCCTCGCGTCGTGCCGCTACACATTTCTGAATAAATATCGCGTGTATCTACTAAAATGGATCACCTTGTTCATGTAACATGCATTATACAATGTTTACTCATTCTTTTGATGCGTTGATTTTTTTTAAAAAATATGTTCATTCTATAGTTAGGTGATAATAATTGTAATTACTAAAGAGAAATAATGTTAAAACAAAACTCTTTAGATCTTGAAAAATAAATGAAAAAAATTATGAAATTATTAAACATAGTGTTCGCAGTCTAGGCATAATAAATACACTGTTTTATAAAATGTATAATAAAGGACCATTTGCCATAAACTTAAATGTGTGCTGTGCCATTGCTATCATATTACGCGTGAGACAGAGAAAATACAAATATCGGTAAAGAAGAAAATACAATAATCATATTTATTACTACAGAAAATAAAACTAGTGCACCAATTGTTTACTAATTGTTTTATTGGACAATATAATATCATATTATCGAAAATGAAAAAAGTTGGCTTACTTAAAAAAATGAATGTTTTTAGAATACTTATCGAAAAACTAAATCGTAGAAGTACCTACAGACTGTCTTAATAATATAATATTTAAATCGATTACAGTTGAAATTTCTTTTTTTTTTCATTAAATTTATCAATTCAGGACCTTTAAAATTTATATATTCATGCAAATATGTTATATAAAAAAAAAAAAAAAAGTGATTTACGAGGCTACATGTATATCGACATAACCAGATATTGTACGATGTGTTACATACAATAATACCACATATTGCGATGCCTGGCAAAATGACAAGAAAAGAAAAAGTTTAACTTGTATATTTCACCGTTTTTATTTTTTTTTATAAATTCGCCACGATATTTTATTTGAAATGATAATTTCCTGCCAAGATCTTTGCGTTTTAATTATAAGAAGGTTGTCAAATCATATACAAGCTATGATCGATTAAAATTAAAATGTATTTTCTGTAAACAACAAGGAAATTAAAAAATCTTACTAAAATCGTTCAACTCCAATAATAATATATATGTGACGAATTTTTGATCTTCATTTGGAATTCCAGGAATTTTCAAACGCAGATAGTGTAAAGTAAAGAATAATTATGGTTTATGTATAAATATTGTCCCTATTTTCCCGGTTTTTCCCATTTATTAGGAAAACTACTGGAAAAATTAAAAAATTACCTTCCTATAGTACTTCTTTAGTTAATTTTTTTTTAGAAAAATTGCAATCATTGTAAATCAGATAAAATTGCTGGTAGAAAAATATTGTCCACAGTAAAAAATAATAATAAATCTAAAAGAATTTAAAAGAAAGATAATGAAAATGTTTTCTCAAATTTAAAGATAATTCGCTGCTAACCCCGAACCTAGGCTCCGTTTCTTGTTTTTATGAAGTTCTTTCATGATATGTTTCCTTTATTACAAAAAACTAACAGATAAATTAGAAAAAAACTTTCAATGCACTGCTGATAGATAAACAATAATAGATTATATTAATAGTTGCACTAATGATGGAAATAATAATATACTTAATACCCTCTGATTTTTCAGTTATACAATCGTGAACAAATTACTTGCAAACATGTTTGATGCGTGTATTTCGCAGTAAATATTGACAAAAATGTGCTAGTTTAGTGTATTCTTATGTGTTACAATTATTATTCTGCGTATATGACTGTGCAAAACGTATGTCACTTGTGTAACGCTCTGAACCAATAGAAACTCAACCCGTATAGCGTTTATGAACGAACAACTAAATATTCGAAAATAGTTGATACATAATTCATAGTTACATAATTCAGACATAGTTTTACTGTCAGGATGAGAGGGTTTAATATTATATTAATTGTAATGATTAATTTACAATTCACTATATTAGTATTCGCAAGACTAGAAAAATACCAACAATCTAAAAAACTTCTTAAAATTATATCCAAAACGCCATGCTGGAGTCAAAATACACAAATATTATGGAAAAAAGTTATAATACAAGGTAAGAAAATTGCAATTAATGATATTTTAAAGGAAGGTGATTGGCAAATCACGGAACAAAATGTATGTGAAGTTTCTAATCTTTTGTCTACGGTTTTGTCTTGTGAGTATGCTGAGTTGAATCTTAATTATATAGCTGTATATTTAAACACATATTTAAGAAATTATGAAGCAAAAGGTTCAGAAGATAAAAATGTGTACACATTACTATACCGTATACGTATTTTAAAAGAGTCTTCTAATTCATTAGAGTTATTAAAAAGCTCCGTTTCAGAAATGATATCAACATTAGTCAGTTATATAGGAAATGTAGAAAACCATTGCGTATCTACGAAACACGAATATTTGTTGATGTTGTTAAATTGGTACTTGCATTTAAATCAATTTGTTAATATGTTTTCTACAATAATTGAAACAAACAAAGATACTATTTCACGGTTATTAACACATTATACAGAACAAGATGCCTATAACTGTGACAAAGTTAAAGAAGACGAATTAAATAAGGTCTTAAAAGATTACGTGCATAATCTAATTGTAATAGGATTTCAAGTAGAATCAAATTTTAAAGCATATCATGCAAAAACCTGTGCACGTAAATTTGATTTGATTCGTTTACCTGAATTAAATCCGATGTATTTATCAACACAGTATGAAAAATTAAAACAGAAGTATTTGATGTATATTTCAACAATAACCAGTACATCAAATGGAGTTCTTGATGTACATAAAAAACATGGAATGCTAGTACATGGAATTCAAAATAATACAAATATAATTATAAAATGGGATCACGATGAATATTTGTCTTTAATGGACATATATGAACAGTATATTAAAAATTGTAATAATCTAGTGAATCTTTTAAAATATGAAAAATTAATCCTTAATATAATGATAGATCTTGTACAGAGTAAAGTAGTTAGTGAATTAGAGTACTTATTCAAGAATAAGCAAACTAATCTCTGTAAAAGTATAACATCCGCTTTAAACACATTTATGAAGCTATTGAATAACTTCCCAAGACTTTTTATCGATAATATGACTAAAATGATTTTTAGAATAAATACTATTATCTCTTATATAGCGATGGAGGATACTGAAAAAAATGTAGAAGAATTGTTGAATAAAATGAAATCTGAAATCAGAATAGATTTCCCGTATGATAAAATATGGAGAATTCCAAAGAGTGAAATTGAAATTAAAACATTATTTGGCTTTCTATATCAAGTTATTTCAAATTTAGGAAAATACACTTATCTAAATTCGGAAATTTTAAATATTCTCTGTGGTAAATCGTATATTTTCATATCTAATTGGTCAGAATATGCGGTTGATTATAAAATCTTGTACCATTTTAGAAACAACAGAATTAGTTTTGATAGCGATAAGTGCTCGGCTTTATATAATACAACTGCATTAGCTCATAACGTTCTTCAAGTTAGTATGGATGGTTTCACACAAAAAACAATTGTAAAAGAAAGAAAGGTATCGGAAGAGAATATTTTTTCGTTTGATGTTTTGGGTGATTTTAACAAAAAAACATTAAAACTAAAAGAACAGTTCATTCATTTTTATGCCCTGAAATGTGAGAATAACAATATTACATATGGAGATAGTGATTATTGTTTGTTAAAAAAATTGTTTGCACTGATTTATAACATGGCTAACAGCAAATTATACAGTGATGTATTTCAAAAATCATGTGTTGAAGAAAATGTTCAATATTTAATATCATTCTATTCTGATTTAGCATGGCTATTAGAGAAGTATTATTTCTTGTTATGTGATAATAAATCTATACATACATTTGATGGCATTTTACAAAAGGAATCAGGCGAAATGAATATTGGACATGATATTGTAATTGAAGACCTTCTTAAAATAACAAATATCTTTTATAATACGCCTGCCCAACAGAAAACGAATTACGAAAACCCAACCGATTCTTATTATAGTGTTGATGGTAAGACATTGTTTGTTGAACACTCATTCGGGGTTTTGATACGATACAAGGAATTTATCACACATAATGCAGAACGCTTTCGAGGTGAAAATATTAAGTTCTATTCAAACGGGACCCAAAAATCAATTATTGGTTTTGAAACAGAATCAACAGAAAGTATATTAGAAATTCACGATATCGTTGAGTTCCAATACATCACAGTCAAGTGGATAATATGCGTTTTTGTTTTTGACCTCATACTAATTCTTGAAGTGTTTCAAGAAAATTCTTCAATTGATTTCGATGTAGAGCCTTTTTTTTCAGAACTGGAACCTATTAGTGACCTGCCTGATCATTTTATTAATTTTAGATTTCTGCGTCATAGTATACCTGTTATAAAGGAAATTTTATTGAACAATTTGGATAAGAGTAGCATAGATAGTGTTATAAAATTTTTAACCGGTGAACTGGAAAATTTCGATGTTGTAATACCATCTTTATCTAAAAATTATAAATACGAGGCAGATGTTGAATTGCTATTAAATAAAATCACAACTGATGTGAAAATGGCTCATTCTTCAGGATTTCAATTTATGATTGGGTTCTTAGGATTGGGTGACTTGTTCAAAGGAAAACAAAAATCATACATGACGGACTGCAATTTTTATATTGATCAGTCTGTTCCAGAAAATATAAACTCATAACATCGTCTTTTAATTTATTTATTTTTTATTTTGTCTTTTTATTTACATCGAATTCATGATTTTATGCTTGTTCTTGAGAAAAACCTTCTTTGTTATATTCAATCAATTTGAGCTGACGGTATTTCCGAATACCTGTACATTGAAAACCGGTATAGACAGAGTTGTATTATTAATAACAGACTAATTGATAACTACTATTGTTTCGTTAAATTATGACAAATCGATATTTGCTATTGTATTCCGTGTGAACCTTGATGTCCTTGTCTAGAAGTTTCTAGTATTATTACTATTACTATTATTATTATTATTATTATTATTATTATTAGTTTTACGAAATTATGTTATATTATGGTAACCTAATAACAAAACGGTTTTCACGGACTTCGACGCTAGTGGATGAAAACCTTAATAATCCTAGTTTGGTTAACAATATAACTGAAAAACCGATGTCTACAAGGATTAAGATAAAAAAAAAATAATGAACAGTGTTATATGATGGAATTAGAACTGGATTATTTTAAAAATATTTGTTTTGAATTAATTAAGAGATGACAATAGAAATTTTAATATTTCTCAAAATAGGTGTTGCCTTCACCTAAAATTTGTTTGAAAAAAAATATATAAATAAAAATACATTTTGACAGAATTCTTCGCATGGAAACTATACTGTAGGACATCCTGAAAATATACTGAAAATAGCAATGTACCGGAGTACTATCAAATCTAAAATGAATTATAAAATGTTTCATCCAGAAGACCATTATGTTATTATGTATATATATATCCCTTATATTGTAACACAATCTACATTTTTAATAATTTGTATTTAATTCCACACACTTCATTGCATTAATAGAAATTTGTAATTATCGAACCATGAGTTTTGAAAATTTATATATTTTGTAAAAATTACTATCAACCGAAATATATTTCATCGTATTTATCTTATTCAATTATTTAATTGTCTCATGGAGATTATATTATATTTGTTATTATTAATAAAATAAATTATTCTGAGATTAAAGCGAAAAAAATATTTGGGATAACGAAGTGTTTTTTTTTTTTTTTAAATTTTTAGTGCTTTATACCATTTTTTCTATCAGAGATCTTGCTCCTACTTTAAATTAAAATGTTGATAAAAATCCTAAAAAATGTACGACATTCCGAATCATGTTTAACGGCCTTCGTTGATTTTCCTTTACTAATGTTTTTTCTTTCCATTCGTTTTGATTTTTCCTATATCTAGTAGTATTGTGTAATCATTTTATTTCTCAAATAATTTTTAGTTTGCCGGAGTCTAGAAATACTCTCTCCATTCCAGCACTTGAAGAAAGTAGGATAATTGCTATAGTATTTTATGATAAAAGTTCAGAAAAAGCCAAATTTTCTGTGTTGGATAATAATTTTTTCGTCTTTATTGTTAAATTTTTAGTACAGTTGGTGACCAAAAAAGTCGTGTTTTGATTTATTTGTAAATATATAAATGATATAGCAAAATCGAAAAATACGTAGACATTACTGTACAATTTACGAAAGTAATTCTATTATTATTTTAAATTATGTTTTTTTAATATACTTCGGATAAAAATAGAAGTAGAGACTTGAAACTTTGACAGAAAACATAGGTATATATTTTTTACGTAATTTAGTTTGGTAGGTACTCTGTGGATACTATTGTTAGACTAAATAGAAATGACAGGATGTTCATTATAAGTCGTATTTAGTGAAAAACGAAATTTTTTGTAATGTAGTATTTTTGTTATTTGTTATTTTTAAGTTAATATAAATATTTATGTTGTAATTATGTATTTATGTAATTGCAATGTATATTGATAATGATAAAAATAAAAACTTTAGGATTTTATGTATTTTGTAGAAATTATGTAGATGATCAAGTAGGGGGGGGTGGGTAAATGAAAGAATTTTTTTTTTTTTATGAGAGCGTAGCCTTGCGCATGATGACATTTGTTTGTAAACGAAAATATAGTTTAAAGTTAGGTTTATGAAAGAATATAAATACTATTGCTGTGATTACATTTATAAACCGTTTATTCGACATGTATTGTGTTTAAATCGTTCCAACCTATTATAACTTGATCGGCATGAAGATTCATGCTTAGATATCTACTATGGTGATAATGTTTGGGAGGGAATACCAATAAGTCGTTGTGAATTGCACATATTGTTCTGGGACAAATAAGACGTGATACCCTTTATTAGGATCTTAAGACAAATAAACTGGACGTCAAGTATGGCACGCAAATACAATGTGTTTGAAGAAGACCGGTACGATTATTTAAGTAGCACTCGTTTACTTCTTACACGAGTGTCAGCCGTTACGCAGGGAAGGTATTTGCAAATTCTATTTCGTAATAACTACGAGAAAATCGTTATATCAATTGGGTAACACTCATTAACTTGGAAGTAAAACTACTGAAGAATAGCTGTATGTACTAATGAGGTAAGTTGGAAAAAATAATCATGATTTAATGTATGTCATAAATGAAGCGATAGAATGTAATCATCAGTATTTGCTGAAGTGTACGTAGTGGAATACCGTAAACAGAAGCCACCTTCGGTTTTACAACCACATCATTGGTTTTTTTTTTTTAGAGTTAAATTGTTAAAATAGAAAGGGGAATGGTAGAAAAGAACTGAGAAAAAAAAACGGTTAGCTGGAAAATACACACGTACCATCGTATATGCCTTAAATATACTCCACTATTGTGCCCCCACTTGACCGATATGGTCGATCGAATTCTCGAATTGGAGAAGCCACGAAAAATCTATTAAATCATATGTTTTAATTATTCTGAAGTAAAGGAATATCCAATGTATCGTAATCGGATAAGATAACCGCGTTCTGTAATATTCCTATATTTTATAACAGATACAACAAAAAAAAAAATGAATCAACGCGTCTCAGTTTAGTAAATAAATTACTAACGATTATTGCATTGGTAGTTAAACGTAGTATATTTTACGTAGAAATTAAAAATATGTCTTTCCTAAAATACTACTGTACTACAACAGTTAAATTTTCTTTAAGAAAAAGTGCTACACTTGAAAATCTAAGTAAAATTTCTAGTAAAAAAGTTGTTTCAAGAAAAAAAAAAAAAAAATGGAAAACTAAATATCATTGTAAAATCAATAAATTCCTTGTTCCTCGCAGAATCTAAAACTAATTGAAAAACTTATTGCCTAGATACCAAATAAACAAGATTTTTTTGACGCTATTTTTTAAATAAAACCACTAAAGTGGGAAAAAACGTAGGGAAACGTACAATTTCTCGATTTCATTATTTTATAAAAACACGGACTAGTTTTTCTACCAGAAAAAATCATTTAATCGAAAGATCACAAAAAACCTTATTTGTTGTCTTTTTAATTTAATTTATTACAGTAAAACCTTCTGAGCCGCTTTAAAGCTTTTAAGGAATTTTTAATTTTTGGATGTTTTTTTTGTTGTAGTTCGATTACAAATACACGCAGATATTTGAAACTTGGTAAAAATAATTAAATTGTACTTCTTTAGACGTGGTAAAATTTCAAAAAAAACTAACCAAAATCGCAAAAAAAAAAATTACAACACTTCAAATTATGTATTACCGAACCGTGCTCGGAAACGTTTTTCGTCAAGCAATGGTTAATCGTTACTTACAGATATAAATTAAATATCTTTTTGTATACTTCATGATATGATCCCATCTCCAGTATCAGCTATTTTTTTTCCCATTATACTGTGTTTAGTTATAAATTCCGGTATAAAAAGTAAAAAAAAAAAAAAACACGTGTATAAATGGATCAATTTAACCCTGGTGGGATGCCATCCAGCGAAAAAAAAAACCAAAAAAAATTAGGAATTTTTTTTTATATTTTTTTGAACCAGTGTTTCTACTTAGTAACATTAATTTCCACCAAAGCTAAAATAACGATTGCCCTAATATATATATATATATATATATATATATATATATTTATATAAGTAAAATAATAATGGAAAGTTTTTAAGATGTAAATAATAACGCAATATAAATTTAAAAACTTTGCCCGGAATTTACTACTTTTTGTTTTTGTTTATTTTTTTCATACGCCCAATATTGGCCGGCGTCCCGAATAGGCAAATTGATGGCATTCGTGCGTACTGTGCAAAACCAGACATTTGCCAATATTCCTGTGAGATAACAGTGTATTTTACAATATTCTGTCCATTGTGTAAGAAGTATTTAATATATTATATAGTATGTTTTTTATATCGTAGATTTTGTGGATTTTGTTCAAAATAATATTGCGGAATTTCGATACCGTTAAAATCAATTAACCCAATAGATTATTATTATAATTCGAATTCATTTGATACTGAAATCGGGGACTGACAGCATTTCAATTAGGTACCTGGTACATATATTTGGAATACAAGGATATTATTGCGTTTATTTCCATTGTATTCAAACGCGATAATTACGCGATGTATTTGTGATTATTGACGCACAATTATAAAAGAAAATATTGTTAACTTTCTGATGGTATTATAATATTATCATTTATCACCAAAACTGTTACAAGGTTACGACATTTAAAATTCTTTAATAACGATATGTTATGTTTAAAGTATACCGTTTCTTTTGACGTATTAATACTAAAGTGTATTCTAGTATAATGTATTTTGTGTATAATACCTGTCATTTATTAAGGGAATAATAATTGTGTTTTGGAACATTTACTTATCACTGCGACCTTAAATATCCTGCGTTTAGTATTCTAATACAATTTAAAATGTGTTTTCCCCCTTCCCTGGATATAAATAGTATAAATAGCCGATAAATTGAACGGATTTTATTTTTTTTTAGATTTCCCACGCCTGTGCTAATTTTTATTATTTTTATCTTTATTTCCGTATCGGTTTATTGAACTAAAAATAAATATAGTGGAACTCGATCAAGACGCTCTCGATCTAGACGATTTTCCAAATCCTGCCGCCTACTTACGCCCATTTATATTAATTGCCTAGTTATTTTGACAATGTTCCCGGATAAGACGCTCTCTGTGTCAATGACGTTGATATAAAAATATAAAATTTAATGAAATACCTCACTAATAATGATGGTAACGAATTATGTGTACGTGCACATGTATTGGTCATCGGACGATAATATCCATGATTATATAGGACACGCTTTACACGGCTATCCACGGCAACGGAATGTCGGGTTCGGGTATGGCTCCAGTTTACGACAGTGTTTGTGGTTACAATTATAGTCAGGGCATGTTATTTAATGTATATAGATGAAAATAAAATGGTCAATGAGTTTATATATATATATATATATATATATATAAAAAAGACATTTGAGTTATTTAATAACATACTAAATTAATATACTAAGTAAGGGACAAAGTGTCAAATAAAAAAAGGACGAAGGCACCACGGTTTAAACAAGAAAAAAAAAGTTATTTATTTATTTGTTTTTATCAATGGTATGTACCGTTAACTATAAAATAAAATCATTATAACCGCTTGTTCTATAGACCAAACGGACGTATATACGAGTATAAAAAATAATAAATTCAAATGTAAGCGCACAAAGAATTATAATCTGTGTACGAGTTTTTTTTTTTTTTTTTTTTTTTCATTAAAGTTGGTGAAATATTTTATCATTTTTTCTACGCTTATTGTGTTATGGATTTGAAATTTTGAATACGAGCGACGACAATGTAAATATTATTATTCCTCTTTTACATATATACTTACCTAATATGATACATGAATATATATATTTTTTTTTTGCCAAGGAAATAATTTTTCCTACTTTCAAAAAAAAAAAAAAAAAATGGTTTCACCGTATTATATATATATTATACGAGGGTATCACTTTATCTTGATCCAACATATTTCTATCAGAGAATTTTATTTCAACATAATTTTAAATTGTGTAGCCCGTATGCCGTAAATGAGTATACAATTTTGATTTTCAAATAGGAACCACACTTCTTTTATAAACAATGATACGATATTGTTCTACATATGTTCATGTGTATAACACTAATATTGAATTTAACATGTTTATGAGTTATAATGGTTTATAACGTAGACCAAAGGAGTAGGGAAGACGTTATTAAATGACCATCTAATATTGGTTTTGCAGTTTATTAGTTTTTAGTCAATCGAGAAAGTTTTACATTTTTTGTCGAATGATTGAGAAAACCTAAAATTCTTAAAAAAAAAACACTCCGTTAACCCCAAAAAAACTAATACGTTTGAGAACGAATTGTCCGTGAAACGTTTTTATATTATTACTTTTTTTTTATCGTTTGATTCAGCGCGTTTTATATTTTTTTAGTCAAATGATTGCTTTTTGGTTCAATCATTTATTAATCATGCACACTTATTTAAAGTATATTGATTATAGAAAATGATGGTGATCATGATGTATCAACCTCCGACCACGTCTAGTAAATTAAGTTTCCATTGTGGAGTCGATGTCTCGGTGTGCAATAAATATCGTTTCAATTTTTGTACAATTTTGTACGCAACCTAGCGAATAACTTGCTCAATATTACTATATCAGTTATTAAATATAAATAAAAAAATCGAAACCAAAAAAAACTATCCTAAATTGTGCCGTTATCAATCCTATTTTACAGAGTTTATAATTGGTTTATGACAAATGGATTACCCTGCTTATTTCATGCGGATTAAATGCAGAGACCACGAACAAAAGGAATACAAAATGACTCGTTATATTATATTCGTAGTTCAAAATATTATTATTTTAAGCTCTGAGCATAACGAGGGATGTAGTAACATTTCTGCCAGATATCTTGCTTTAGTAAAAAAAACTTTTTTGTTGTTTTTTTAATATGCCGTTGGGGAGCTACATTTTTGATTTTCCTTGTAGTTTCATAATATTACAAGGACAAAATGCCAGTTTTTAGTGTAATTTAGTTTTGATTTTGTGATGATTTAGGCAACAAGAAAAAAATTTATACTCTGTACAGTATCTTTATTCATAAGCAATGTTTCATCAAAACGTTTATATAATATAATTTTGATTTCTGTATACACATATATTATATATTTCAATTTTCCTCTTGAAACAGTGACAGCCATTAACATTATCAGCAATTAATTCTGAATTATATTTCTACTGTTTACCAATGAATATTTTAATACTTTGCGAAATAATCAAAATGTTATTGTGTAATACTCTTGATTTTAAAAATAATAAACTGTAAACAATAATACCATTTTTAGATCAAAATCGCAATTTTTAAATTTTATGAAATTTTATATTAAATGAGGAAATCGAACAATACTGGATGATAAGCCGGATTGTTCAGAATCGTCGTTTTGTTATTTTTATATAACAATTGTGTAGGGTGCATCATTAAAACCGCCAGATTTAAATTGCCAGATATCTTTTGTGTTGTTTGTTAAATGATAATCTGTAAAGGTTTTATCGAACTGTTTTGTTTTATTGATTTAATTTGACTGTTTCTGACCTTCTGCTTGTAACCATAGTGTGACAAACTATTCAAGAACACGTTTTGATTTTTAAGAATGTTTATCGCCATAGTTATGTCGGGACATTAAACTATCATAGACGGGTCATTGGTTGAACTGAAGTTCCTAGTGAGTCACTTATGAGTTACTAAATAGTAATTTTCATTATGAAAATAAAAAGTTTTAACAACCAAAACGCGTTATTGATAGTTCGTCACACCATGGTTACAAACAGAATTGTAGTAGCACAAACAGTATGAAATTTAAAATAATTAGTTAGTTAGACACTATAATAAGTAGTAATGGAAGACAAAGAAAATTAAAATAATAGGCTACTATGTAGAAGTAACTACAAAGAATAAGATTGAAGAGTGGGTATACAAATGTACCTATATAATATAAAATAATTAGTTTTTAATAATACAATGAATGATTTAGTTTTAAATACAATAAAAGTTCAGCCTACTAATTATATTACTACCTTCCTTCCAATGTTTGATAGAATTCTGAGTCGTAAATCCAAGAATATTGATCAGATCTTTAAATATAAAAAAAAATATAATTATTTAACCTACCCACGGGATAGGTACGATCGGGTGTATACCTGTAGATATCCTCACGTGATTCTTGAGTCGTTGGGTGGCAGTCACAATTCATTTGAAATAAACTAATTTAATTAATTAACGCTTTGCATCTCTGTGCACTCTGATAAAAAATGTTAATCTTTTTAAACGTGGAAAATAAAATGTTGAATTATAAATTAAATTAACAAAGGAATTAAACACGAGTGATTATAGCTGCTAAAAGTCGGAGATAGCTATTCGTGAGAGATTTTCGAAAGAAATTGGTGGAGCGTAGTATTTGTTGCTTGCAGGGTTCTCGAAAGAGTGTTCGTCCTGGGATTTTTCGAGCGGTCAAGACGCTCGATTTTAAATTGAAAAAAACGTTAAATTTTATATGTTTAAAAAACAACCGCAAAAAACAACCTTTGGAATTTGTGAGCTTAAAAAAACGGACCAGATGGCCTTCGCGTCGATGGAGTATCACTGAGGCAACAATGTCCTCAAAGAGGCGCAGCAAATGTTGTGCATTATTACTATATTTAACACATTTCAAATTACTTTGCGTGTAGATAATATTGTATACATCCCTCTTGAATAGCGTATGCTTCGTTATGTTTATTAAATAATTCACATTTCAGAAAATACCAAGTACTCGGCTGTATTTGAATCTTTTAGTTACATTGTTGTGATAAAATAAATGATAAATAATTGTACATGGATAATTTTATATCGTGTAAGCATAATATTACAGGTTGGAAACAATTTTATTAAGGCTGGAAACAATCAAAATAAATCGATAAATTTTTCACAGCATTTCACTGTGAAGACTTTATAAAATGATAGCGATAGGAAAAACAGGTCAACCAACACAGAAAACAAAAAATACCATTCAATTTATATCCATCGGTCTTAAAAGGACACCCTATACATTTGGATATTAGATCAATAACGAAATGTATTAATTGTTTATACTACGTTTAATTTAGTTGACGAATTTAAAGTATAAAATAATTTATGTTATCAATTATTTTGTTTCCTATTTTTACAGTCATAATTTTTTTTGTTTTCAGATAAAATCAGCAATTCGCGCGTGTCAATACTGTCACTGTTCGCGGGTACCTAATTAAGTAAGTGTGATTTTTTTAAACTAATGTACCAGCAGAATAATTATTTAACACAAAACTAATTTCTTTGTACTTCTAATTTGAAAGAGTCGAATAACCCACAATTATTATTTTTAAAACTGATATAAAACGGTATAAAATGTGTAAGCTATTACAGACATGGATTAACAAATAATCGAATCATAGCCGTTTGCCTCAGAGCTTGGCGATGGTAAGCATATTACTAGGTTTAAAATAATAAAGAATTAAGTATGAAAAAAATATTAAAAATAATTATTAGACATTTATTCTAATGCCAATTCAATTATTAACTAAGTTCCAGTTGCTGATAATGTTCTATTTTATAATGTGAATTAAATTCTAAAATACAATATACAGGTTTATGTTATCAAATAATATTAAAAAGACGGAAATACTTCGCACGGGGGTGCATCCACTGTTATTGGTGAGATGTTGGGAAAGGAGTTGAAGAAGAATTTTATATACATATATATGTAATCAATATTAAGCCGTTACTAAAGTAAAACAATTTTGAGTAAAACAATCATTTTTCCCAATGTTTGTAATACTTCTAATCCTTGTCTAGAGCCGGTTCATGATTCAACATTATTAAATAATTTAAAATTAAGTATGATTAGTAAAAACTACCTTTGATTTTGAGTCTGGACCACATATCAATATTTATAAATGAATGTGGTGGATATAAATCTAGAAAAAGTATGTTCTAAAGTATACATAGTTTGTTTGTTCAATTTAAATAATGTGATCGTGTGCCTAGATATCTATTTGGGTATTCTCAAAAAAAAAAAAAAAAAAAAAAAAATTAATAAATAAATAAAGAAAAATAGATATAAAAACACTACAGACTATATCCTTAACTGTTATAATAATATAGAAAACGTTTGCGTTGAATATCGTTTCATATAATATTAAAATGTCTACTTTGAGCAGTTTTTTTTTTCGTATCCCAGCCTATTGTCATATTAAAAATATATCTTGTATTATTATATGTCATGCGATACCCCCCCCCCCCCCGGCCGAAACACGCATACAGAATGATAATATTAGACGTGGAGGAAATGTTTTAGTGGCACGTGTGTATATGTATGTTCCGCACAAACTAGAAATAGACAGGGGATCAACGCGATAGGAAAATGACGATAAATTATAAGTCTACCAGTATAGTATATTGTTGTATAAAGTTAAATTGAGTTGGTAAACCGCGTTAAAAGTACAACAATAATAATTTGCAATAAAGACATTGTATAATGCGAAGTCGTGTAACTCACGTGCAAAATGTAAAATTCAGTTCTATATCTACGTGTCGTATCTACGAACGTGTACACTGTGTATGTGTAATATAATATTGTAATCAGCTACAACGGAATGGTGTCGCGTTTTGTTCGAACGAAACAATTAAAAATGCCGAGAGAATTCGACTATCTGTCGGATGTGTAATAATAGCGTTGATAATATTATATTTTAACGTTATTTTATTATTTTTTTTTTTTTTGTCCTTGTTCTACAACGGTGAATCTTTCCGGTCGATGGTATCGAAAATACATTTTCTGTTGACTAGTATTAGTTACACGTGTAGGATGTATATGATATTTGTGGGTGTCTAATCGGTCAATTATTACTATTGTTTAATTGTTTACAATTGTTTAATGCATTGCCAAAAAACAATTATTGTTCATCATCGCTCATTTTACATTATACGGCGGAATATTATTAGTACCTAATGTTGTATACTATATTAATATTAAATTCACCGTACATAGAAGACCGAAATTATTATTTGTTTGGAAAACTAAGTGCAATACGTTTTCATCAATTATTCATTCGGAAGATCACAAATTGAATAAGAGACATGAACAAATATACATCTTATGAAATCCAGACAAACAGTTTCTTTAACAATCTCACACATGTCCAAACTCCGGTAGTAAAACAACAAACCACGTATAGTAGATTGTATGATTTTATTCTTTTTTTTCCTTTTTTTTTTTTTTTTTAGTTTTTAACCTTGAACAATGAACATGTGTCACAAGAAAATAATATCTGTCTTTATTTTGTTAGTTATAAAAGTTTAAACATTAAATTTAGATTTGAAGACTTCAATATCTACGGTACAATATCGCTATCGTAAAATATTCAAACAGTATTTGAAAAAAAAAAAATAAATATAAAAATATTACATCATATTAAAAAATATTATTTGAAATATTTGTGTGCAAATACTATTCATTTTTGAGGAATAATTGTTTGAATTGAATGAATTTGTCATTGTTAGATTTTCCACGAACATAGATACATTGTATACACCTGTTATACATATAAGCTACAGCCAAAGGATACAATTTAGTAACTGTATACAGAGTGATCCGCTAAACATGCTCACCCTATTGTTTGGTTAAATTTTAAGAATTTTTAATTGCAGTTAAAGCCGATATTTTCGAATACATAGATTTTCTACAACATTTAAGGAGTTTTTTCTGGTGATACCAACTTTGTTTTTTTTAAATGAAAACCTATATGAAAAATTCAACAAATAAATGGAGTATTACTTTAAATAAATTTCAGTGTTGACACTTTTTTTTTCCGTTAACCCGTTTACGAGATATTTAACTTTAAAGGGTTAGGTAGGGTGAGAAAAGGTCATGGAACACTAATAAAACGTCGCGCGACTTCCTGCCACACAAATGATACTCTACTATATTATATTGGTATTTTGCCTAAATAATATTTCGTCTTTTTATATAACTTCTTATTAAAAGATGAAACAGACACTTTGACTACAAAGTTTCGGAATTATACACAATATCTGGTATAAAATACTCCGTTATAAACTTTGACTGTTACTTAGATATACATTATATTTTTCCGCTAATTTTGGATACTTTTCGTGGCTTTCTCTGCACCAAATGAGGAAATGTATGCATTTCGGGAATTAGAGTTGTACTATAAGGATACTGAAGAGGACTGACTTATCCCTAAAGTGCCTTAAATTGAAGTTAGGATGATGACATTTTAAATATGAATCGTGTCGGCATGTGCTTTTTGAAGGTTTTAAGTTTTAATTTTGTCTATGAACTCTTGTATGCTCAAATTTCATGTTTCAAAAAAAAAAAAAAAAACAGGGTTTTCACACCCTTATAGAGTAAAATATAGGTAATCAATTGTAAAATGTTAAAAAAAAAAAATTAATTTAAAGGATATTCGATTGTTGAGGTCTGTTGCTTACCGGTGTTATTTTTTTTCTTATAAATACGAATTCACGATTTCACAGTTTTAATTTAGTTGTTTTTCATTTTTACTCGTTAAAATAGTTTTTCAGTGCTGTAAATTGAAGTTGGAGATTTTTGAGGTTTTTTTTGTTCAAAACTTGAAAGCAAAGCTCGCCTGAACATTTTGTTGGTCGCCATCCAAAAACCATTTATCGTTTTGTTGGCTTTTTGTCACTACGTAACAGAAGACATCACTTTACCTGCCTATTCCGTTCGGACATTTTCCTATACCAAAGACAAACCAAATTTTTCGGTATTTCAACTATCTCTGAACTGTAAGGATTGACATTTTGAAAAATAATATTTTCAGAATATTATTATACGTTGAAAATATTTTTGTAACTTTTTACTTTTTTTAAAATTTTCTTAAAACATTAAGGTTTTTAAGACTAGGAAAAAAACTATTTATTTTCCTCACGGTGATCCACTTAAAATATTTACGTGCTTACCAGTGTCGTTCTTAATGGTGGTGACGTGGGTGATACATCACCCTCTAAAATGGTCTAGTTACACTACTTGTTGTAACTTGTTACACACAGTACCTATAACGTAATGCAACTTATCAAGTTTAAAACATGCCGCATTATCATTATTCGTTACTATGTTTATTTATAATAATAAATGTTTATCAAATTCTGTGGTATTTTAGTACATTATATTATTTGTGACTTTTTTCTTAATATTTTTGATAAATATTCATATCAACTCACAAAGAGTCGTCTTAGTTATGCTACTGACGCTTACAATAATTATTACGGTTATCTCACTATGAATATGGTCCGTAAAATTTCAAATGTTGAGCTAGGTTGTGGGTTCACCGACAAAGTCAGTGGACTCGATCGTTGAAACCTCGAATGGAATAAAACGAAACGCCCTTTAGAGTCAAATCGATTTCAAAAAAATGTATTTTCGTTCGTTTTCGTAATATGGGAATGGGATTGCAACGGGATCATTAATGTGGCCAGAAGACTTGTGCCGTGAGCGATAAACTACTGCGATGGGATTTGGGAAAACAGTCGAGGTGGCACCCGGTGAGGATTTTATATTTCCCCGTGGGATCGTTATACGCCGTAAATACCTATAACCAATAATTACTCGGGCTACACGCGCTTTTCGGTCAATTACGACGGAATATTTGTACGCATTTATCTCGCTTATACATAAATCGGAAAATGTGACGATATAGTGCGGTGGTATCGACGGAAAAAACTTGACCGTTTACATACTATACTATTATTATACCCGTATAATTCACCGGAATGGGAAATTAAAACAGACCGGTCGTAAGAAAAAACAACGCCGTCCCTGGGCGTTATACCGAACTAAGTTGTACGGGCACTACGTTTTATTGTACGTGATTATATTGATTTCACGGCACATAAAGATAACAACCATTTTATCCGTTATATTCGGGAACCACTAGATCGACCTAATCGTAATTTTCAATAGCCAGTTGCGTATCCAGCGGTGTTTCTTTAGGGGATCGACGCTCCCGTTTTCCGTGTTAAAATACAATACAAATAACAATAAAGAGCTAATACCACTGATGGGCGTGCCACTGTTTTGGGCTAGAAGTTAGGAAGGCGTAGGATACACGGGCTTATTTTGTTTATGTCTGTACGAAACGATAAATCGTTACTAACGAGATGCAAGTCTGAATGAAGTTCGATATAACGTGTATTGAAACACCGTGGATTTTACGATTTTTATTGAAATTCGAACTGGAAAAAATTTTACATAGGTTATAATAAACTATTACGTTAGGCTCAACTTTTTTGTTTATTAATAATAATTAAGATATAAATCATAATATATCGTGATGAATTGCCGAATATTTTTGCAAGCCGAAAACACTTTAATCCACAAGAGCATTGGTGGGAAATTTGTTTACAGGCAATCTAAATAAAAATCAATTACAAATCGTGCACATTATTGTAAAACCTTTACCTTCCTCACTACACTCACAATCAAAAAAAAAATATAATTAAATACAATTATTGAAGACAATTATTACCAATAAAATAATCACTGCGAATTCGCATTACTGCGACTTTTTAGCCATATATTATGTACAATTTATTATTGTGGTGATAATAATTGTGTATTTTAGAATAAAGAATCAAGTATCAAGTATTTATACTATAAAGAATTCAGACATAATATTGTGTTCGCAATATTAAATATAATTATTTAGTATATTTTATCCTTTCCCTCGTGTTGAAAAATCCTGAATAGGCCACCGGCTTTTGAGCTGAATTAAATAGTGTACGCAATTTTGTGAGAGCAAACTGGCCACGAATAAATTTTGTGTGACAGAGTTCGTCGACGTAAGTCGAAAAACGATTTGTCATTCGCGAAATGCGGTTTCGGAGACGTTATCAAAAACCTCCTCAAGGCCCGCACACCGAATTTCATCGTCGCCGACCTGGTTCGAAACATTTAGTTGTGATTGTAACGAACTATACACGTACTTGTCAATGTGACACGACGTTATCGTGGGATGGCATTTTAGGGCCGAAAAGCGAGATTTCCTGCCGACGACGATTGTGGATTATTGACGGCAAAAATAATGTCTTAGTATTATGTTATGCTATCTTTAAAACCCGACGTGGTCTTGGCCACATTTTTTGTTGTGTCATATTGTTTAGTACCCAAATTTTTAGTGTAAAAATGTGACTATATTATCCGCGAAATTGACTACAAATTCGCTCGTGTGAAGTTTACGCGTCAGTAGAGTTTAATGTTTGTATACCTTTATTTCGATCTGAATTAGTACATACCCGGAGACTCCCGACGCATAACTTTTCGACCTTCCCGGGAAGCAAATTTTTGAGTTCAATTAATGGGTATTTGTTTTGAAGTCTCCCGTTTACCTTCCCAGTCCTTTTCTCATCCTCATATATTTGTATCCCATAGCTATTAGCTGGTAGGAATTTCGACTTTCCTCCGAGCGTTACTAATCCTGAAGTTAAGCCTGTTCGCTATTAGGAAGTATATCCCCC